GTCAAATTAGTCAAATTAGTCAAACTGGTCAAGTTTATTTTAAATATAATATTTTTTTCAGCATGCGAATATATCCATATTTTCAAGATACTGGCGCATTTTTCATTGCGGTATTTCAAAAAACAGGTCCAATAACTGACATCAGTTCTATAGATAGTTTAACATCAAATAAGAACACATGTGAAACCGAAGATGTATCGACAGTCGAAGTTAATGATGATATACAAAATTCTTATGAAGAAATCTACATGTCTAATGAGCCCGATACAATAGCTGTCGATGACTCATCAATTAATGATGACATACTAAACTCTTATGAAGAAGAGCCTGATGCAACAGCTGTTGATGACTCATCGATTAATGCTGCTGTCGATAATTTCGTTGTAGTTCCTATAAAAAGGCATAAGGTTGATTCGTTAAAACATGAATCACATAAATACTCAAAGATCGAAAAGCCTGAAACCAAAATAAATCTTGATAACACATGCTATTTAAAATCCACAAAATTATACATAATAATTACATTATTTAAACAAAAAAAAAAAAAAAAAAAAAAAAAAAAACCTGTTTCACGTATACACCAGGAAATTGTGCTGCGTCATGATTAGTTACTATTAAACACGGACTTTTCAAGCGTTTAGCTTGACGCACAAGCATACAACTTCGTTTTAAATCAGCATCATTTGCAATGACGAGACCAGCTAAAATAAACTAGCATTAATTTTACATGCAAGAAAATTATCTTTAAATTCATTGTTAGTTAGACTTACAAGGAATCATCTTATCTTGTAAGTCATTTGCATGCATCGCTTCGATTATTTGTACAGTTTTTGATCCTGGAGCTGCGCACATATCGAGCACCCAATGACCAGGTTTAACATCTAGGAGTAAAGGTGGTATCATACTAACTGCTTCCTGACGACTAATATTTCCCTATGTAAGCCAATATAAAAATGGTACAATTTCTTAAAAGAAGCTCTTGATTTAAAGGATTTAAATCTAAATATAACACAAACCACTTCAGTTTCTGCAACCAACCATTTATGAAAATTTTGAAAAACAAGACTTTTTTTAATTACATTCCTTGAAGCAGAATGTTGCCAACCAAGTTCATCCGGATACCTAATTAATAATTAAATGAATTTCAGAAATATTAATTTCTAAAATCAAGTTAAATTTTTTCTTTTAATTTTACCAAGGTAAAGGCCTCGGTGCTTCAGATTTGTTATCACTACCAAATTGGATTTTATTTATTTCTGGAACGTGAACATTTACCATTAAATTATGTAATTCAAATGCATTGCTATTTTAACATTAAAATGAATTTTTTTTGTATTTGAAAATTTTAATAAATATTGATTTTAATTGGATTAAAAAACGAAAATATAAATACATAATATACTTTTACCTTCGACTCCCTGTAATACGAAAAGACGTAGGAAGAGTGGTTTTATTTACTTCCATAAACCTTTCCCATTCTGTTTCAGGTATAATATTTTGAGCCTTTAAAAATAAAATGTGTTATTTGATCAGATAGAATTTATTAATTCTCAGGTCGAACAAAAATTTTATCTTTTAATATCGCAAATGTTTACAAAGAACAACCGTCAATTTCTCGATTCAATAGTTAATCTCGGTAATTAACAATAATAGTATACCTTGTAAAACCTTTCTAAGGCTTCATTCTCTCTTACAATGTCGTCAAAGAGACTTTTAGTATTATCTCTTTCTCGTGGCGCTTCTTGACGGTTTTTTTTGCTTCCACCTCGCTTCTTTTTTTTCCAAACCATTATCGAGAATGAAAAATTTTGTGATAATCTATGATGCCCGGGAGCGCAGTAAGTCATTAACAAACCCTAGATATTACTCGACTATGTGATGAATAGTGTCACAGTTTCGGCAAGTAAAATATATTTAATCGTCACATAGTTAAAAAAAGTGATTTCAATAACCAATTAAAATACTAATTATTATCTATAAAAAAAAAAAAAACCAGAT